GCAATTAACAGAGACACATGACTAAACAGAACGGGGAGACAAGACAGGGTGTGACAACACCAGGATATAAAAAGCCTGACAGATCTGTGTCACACTGTCTCTTGGCATTCATGGACTCACCCATCTCAACTCACAACGGGAAAGGCTGTTATTGCTAGTAGAAGCTAACTTTTAGCATTCGCAACTCCACCACACATCAGAACTCCTCCAGGCTTGTGTTACTTGTGGGGATAAACATCAATGTTACAGAGTCAGTGATAGAGTCATTTTGCTCTTAGCCAATCAAAGGGGAGATGTCCAAATATCAGGAAAAAGGACCCCAAAACCTTCCTGAAACCGGCACACCTGAGCCTCCCTCACAAGAGACCACAGCAAATGTGTTGATTAAATGAGTGAACCACACCTTCAAAGGTAACTCATCATTTAATCTGCTGTGGTCTCTAGTAGCTAGCTTCTTCTTTTTCAGGGGGTGAGAGTTTGTCAGTTTTGTTCTGAACACTAGGGGCAGTATAGGCTCTCACTGACTGCAGAAGAAGAGGAGTGCTAGATGGATGCATGATGGATGCTGGAAGTAACACGAGGTCTTGCAATAAAGTTAATCTAAGTTAATACTGCCTGCTTTCTAAACTTAGCACAGAGGAGTGGGAGGCAGAAAACTGCAAGGTTTGTTGTTAATATTCATTAACATGCATGATGTATACACAAACCTCTCGTTTCTGATTGGTTAACTGCAACACAACTCTTCCACTGCCTTCATTTTGCCTTCTTTCCTGAGTAAAAAAATGTTATACTGATGTGTTATGTCCACAAATAATGCAAGCCCAAACTTGTTCCGCCATATTGTAAAATTGCTAATGGTTAGCTTGTATAGCTCTGCTCTCTCCTGGCCACTAAATCAGCACGGCCTTTTCCCGTCACAAGCCAAGAATGCTAATTATCCCTGTGACATAGAAGAGCATGGCTTTTTCTTACTCAGTCCTTTTCCTATCTATTTCTTTTCTGTGGCTAATGCAAGCAATGGGCATTGATGTAAACAAATGTTCCAGCTTCAGCTTACAAATGCTATTCTGAGTGGTTGATTGTATTTCAAAATGAACAAGTTTTACACTTTTTCTCAGTGAACGAGACCTTTAAAGCAAGCAAACGAAAAGTTCAACTAAATTCGAGGATTTACTCATGACTCCTATAAAACGTTCATTAGCTGTTGGCCGCCTTGGTAAAAAGATGAACTGAACTGAAGTGAAACCATAACATAGAGGTCAGCAGTAGAGATCAGGAGCTGAGCATTGTCTTACCAGGAAAATGCTTTGACTGGGACCCTGATTTGATACTTGGAAGTGGATCAGTACAATCCTCACGAACACTTATTCACTGAGTAAGGCCTCAATGCCACTGACACTAAACATTTAGAAAATAGGAAGAAAAAAAATCTTTACTTGGCACAGCGTCTTTACTCCGGAGGAGGTTTTCCCATTTTTATTTGATTCAGTCTTGTTCTAAAAGGTTGTGGAGAGCAGAGTGTGAAGAAGAGGCTGTTTATTTAGTGATGGTAGCAACAAGCCAATGATGTCTAAACTCAGCTGCTTTGATGTATCTGAGAGGACGTGTTGTTTTGAAAGAGAATAAAGGTCACGCTGGCGACTGCAGAAGTTACATGCAGAACATCGACCCCAAACTCACCATAGGCAGACAGAATAGAAACATCAGCCTAATTCCTGAAAAGACAAAGCACCAAATTTCAGACATTAATTTATGGGGGAATAGAAGTTCATAACTCTATTCTGTCAACTTTACTATCATGAAGCAGAAAGGAGTGCAGACACGTTGAAAGAGTCATGTTTGTGTCAGAGAACGAGAGAGTAAGCAAGACTAATAGACGGGATCCACTGCTGGCATCGAGTGACAGATGAGACGAGGGGTGCAGAGAGACAGAAAGAGACATCATGTTTGAGGAAACAAATGTTTGGAGATAGCAGAAGACTGAGACAAAATTAGGGCATAAACTCTACTGACACGGAGGACTGTTTTAAAACAGACAAAGCTGGGATGTATAAGGGACGGAGAAGTGCAAAGATAAACAAAAGGAGGGAAAAACACCTGCAGTTAACACTAAATCCCCAAAACTGAAGCAAAAGATTGAACCAGTGATACAGAGGAGATTTGAAGTGGACAATGAGGTGAGCCCAGTTGTGCTGATAGCTGCACAGCTTTAGGATGAAGTGGCCATGGGTGGATAAGAATGGAAGATTTTCAGGGGTATGTACAAGTCCGTCCTCCACTACAAATGAAAAACCTACAGGCAGTGATGTGAAAAAGAAGTTTTGTAGCCACTCTGGCTGCTTTAATGTACACATTTTATCTAAAAATAAACTGAAACACTTCATGTGGGAAAGACTTCCAATCCCAAGTGATTTCTTCGTCTGACAACTCCAAGCCTTCGCAGATTTATTTCAAATATCTTTGAGGGAGAACACTCGTACTGGAAATAACTGTGGCCAGGTCTATTGCACTGCTGTATCGATCTTCTGGGAAACAGAGAACAAGCCAAAAATTCCACCTCATCAGCCTCACTTCCTCTGTCTTCACCCAGTCATTCAGGTGAAACACAACAGCGGTCCATAAGTGTGTGTTTGGAGCCACCTTTGCGTCTTCCTCTCCTTCCCTCACGAGTCATGTTTGAGTCTTTATAACATGGTGCAGTGCAGGGGAATGACATGATGGAAAATAACGCCTCACATGTTGTCATGTATCATGCAACAAACTCACACACACACACACACACACACACACACACACACACACACACACACACACACACACACACACACACACCTCTAAACCGCACGTTTACTGTACAATTTTTGGGCCATTTTGTGACACTAGCTGCGTTTACATGGGCGCAAGTATGGAATGGCCACCCTATCGAATCGGAAATTCTTCATGTAAACATGTCAATCGGAATATTCTGATATGATACGGTTTTGTCCAATCATCATTCCGATTGACGCCCATGTGCACACCCATTCAGATTGTTGGAATAAAATAATGCCCACTGCGCATGTGTAAAACTTCAGTGTGACGGTTTTCCTTTGTAGACGCTCAGGACAAGTCTGAGGACCTTGAGGACAGTGTGAGCGGGCGATCGTTATCGTAGTACATTATCCTTCTCTCCTCTCCTGTAGCGGAGGAGCAGTAGCGTTACGTACTACTGTGCCTGTGGTTTAGTTAAAGCGATCAGTACAAACAAAAGCATACAGGTAAAAGTGCAAAGAGGGTCCATAACAGAGAAAAAACGTAAGTCTACGGACAAAGCTAGAGAATAAGAAAATAAAAGATGAGGGGAAAGACGTGCGGAGAAGATGACATTTGTTTACGCTTTTATTTTTCTAGGAAAGACAACTCTGCGCATGCTCAACCTATTTCATCTGACTGAACGCTTGGTGCATGTATACTTACAGCATGATGGGATCATTTCAGTTAGTGTCCAAATAAACAGAGGTTTGATTTCCAACCAACTAAGATTTGAATCGGATTGGGGAAATTTGGCGCATGTAAACATAGCTACTCTTTGAGATAGGGCTCAGTTTTATGTTGTAAGGGTAATGAGAAGAAATGAAAACATTACCCAGCCTTTCCACTGAATTCGTAAGCAGCGTTTCATATAACAGATGCGTTTTACCCACGAACTACCTTCCAATCGGAAGCGTTTCAAACACAAAACAGGAGCAAAAGCATCCCACGCAGCAAGTCCCACAAGGTCACAGAATAATGGCAGATTTGTGTGAGTTTGAAGATTCACGTGATAACAAGCAAGGACGTTTCATAGGAAATGGCCTACGTTTTTTTATTAGTTCATCAATGGAAAATCTGCACATGACTTTTATGTTGAAAGTTTGCAGAAGTATTTACACTACTTTCATTTTTGACTACCTGTCCGACCCAACCTTACCTGCGGAGTTTGATGCGTTCTGGAAGCATAGAGTGCAAAAAATAAACTAATCTCTATGCTTTTGGGATGCATCCAAAACATGATGCTATGCACGCTTGTGGATGTCGGAAAGGCACCATCCACTACAACAGCGGCTAATTGGTGCAAATTACGTTTCATGGCCACTAAGTGATGCTTACTTAGTGATGCCAGTGAAAAAGACGGTTTACAGCAAACTCCTTATCAGCAATTGTGCAGTTGCTTGAAAATCTAAAATGTTAGCTCAACTGCTCACACATCGCATGCACCAAAACATGAATTTCCGTCTCCATACACAGCATCTCCTTTTGTTTTTACACTTTCTTCTGCACAGAATAGTAAGGATTGTCAAGGAAGTAAATTTATTTTTGTTGAAAAATCGCTTATTTTCAGGCAAGTGTCTTTGTAATGTTTGCCGTTTTAGGTCCCAAATGTTGCTACCACACGTACAGACTGAGCAGTCAGATATCGCGTACCAAGTGTAGGGTGGTACAGAACAGGAACAGGATTTGTGAGCTGTGCTCTGTGATGAAGTCATACAGCTTGACATGGAGTCAAACATAATGAAAGTTGGGGGGGAAGCTGGCAGTTCTACACACAACACACAAACCTACAATATAATGGCACACCACTGCGGGCCGGACTTGGCCCGCGGGCCACCTATTGAGTACTGCTGGTCTAACGTGTGGAAATATTTGCTAGTGTGAGTCGACTTCACAGCAGAGGTTATGGAGATTCTTTTCCTCGTACATCGGAACAGTTTCTGGATTGGCCAAGAATTTGAATGACAAGGTCACTTACTATCTTCCACCCCAAGTTTGACAGAGTGTGTGTATGCTTGTGTCGTGTATGTGTTCCTGCACACTAAGGACGAGCTTTGGCTTGTGTAAGAAGCTTTCCGGAATGAGATGAAAGCACAACTGGCAGCGGCAGAGGATTAGCTCTCACCGAAGAAACATCCGTGAAAAGTGTGTGTATTTATTAGTTTGTGCATTCATCTGTGTGTGTGTGTGTGTGTGTGTGTGTGTGTGTGTGTGTGTGTGTGTGTGTGTGTGTGTGTGTGTGTGTGTGTGTGTGTGTGTGTGTGTGTGTGTGTGTGTGTGTGTGTGCTATTTTTCGTCTGGTGCTTGGCATTAGAAATGCGTCACCACAAAACAGCAGCTTTCTCTATTCCGTAAACAGCTGGATGTGCCCATCCAGCAGCTCCACTTATCGGTGCCGAACATCTGCTTCATAGGCATCTGCAGGTCATTGGAAACGCTGCAGACTCTCCGGCTTGGCCCAGACAGGCTGCTGTAATTGGACCTGTAAGGGACAACAACAGCAGAGATATAACGAGATAAATTGACAGAACATTTTTACAGTTTACAGTATGTTGTGATTAAGCCAGCGATCTTGGCTGGCCAGCAGACGAGGACACATAACGGAAGCAGACAGATGAACACTAAATCCCAATGTAAGTCTCTGACTCAAGCACTCTTAAAAACTAATGGCCAAGTCGCTGGAAGTACAAATTAAAGAAGGAAAATAAGGCAGTCAGCCAGCAGGAGTGAAAACTTTCTTCTTTTATTTTTTTATTTTTTTCTTTAGTTTTAGTTTTACTGCTGTGCAAAAATCTGGTTTCTGTGTCATGATCACTGCTCTCAGCAGGGGTTTAAAACCTGCAGTCATAATGCAGGTAATTTAAAATGGAATTATATAGAAGTTAAAATCCATATAACAGTTAAACCAAGAGTTAGTTCACTTTGATGCAGAAAATGCAGTGTCTTTACATTTATACATTCACAATGACCTTGCTTCTGCCAATATACAGAGATATTTTAAGAGTCTTATGCAAAAGTCTCACTGATGAAGCAACTGCAGCTTGTTCAGAATGCTGCTGTGAGACTCTTAACAGGAACTGAGAGATCAGATCACATCACTCCTGTTCTTTGATTCCTACACTGGTTACCAGTAAACTGCAGAATAGATTTCAAAGTGTCCCTACTAGTTTATAAATTACTTAATGGCATGGGACCAAAATTCATGTCCAATCTCATTCCTGTACATATACCCAATAGGGCTCTGAGATCCCTTGGAAACAATCAGCTGGTAGAACCTCGGATCAGAGCAAAATATGGTGGAGATGCTTTTAGTTACTATGCTGCTCACATATGGAATCAGCTTCCCCATGACTTGAGATCTGCCCCAACCCTAGTGTTGTTTTAATCTAAACTAAAAACCCTGATGTACTCATCAGCATTTTAAAAGCATTGATGCGGATACAAGCGTCCAAAAGGATTTTTCTCTGCAGAGTGGCTGGGCTCTCCCTTCGAGATAGGGTGAGAAGCTCGGTCATCTGGGAGGGGCTCGGAGTAGACCCGCTGCCCCTCCACATCGAGAGGAGCCAGTTGAGGTGGCTCGGGTATCTGGTTAGGATGCCTCCTGGACCCCTCCCTGGTGAGGTTTTCCGGGGACGTCCAACCGTGAGGAGACCTAAAGGTAGACCCAGGACACGTTGGAGGGACTATGTCTCTCACCTGGCCAGGGAACACCTTGGGATTCTCCCAAAGGAGCTGGCCTAAGTGGCTGGGAAGAGGGAAGTCTGGACCTCTCAACTTAAGCCTGGTTTATGCTTCTCCGTCTGCGTCAGTGCGGAGACACGCACCGTCCTTGCGTAGGGCTCCGGCAGGCACGCAAGTACGTATGGAGTCGAGCCCACTTTTTTAAACATCCGTCGAACGAGACGGATTACGCAAGCTTGTGATTGGTCAGGACGCCGCTGTTGTTTACAGCGCTGCCATTGCAAAGAGAGCCGAGGATAACTAGCGGCAGACACGGAGAAGCTTGAAGAATACCTCGCGAAAAAACTCTAAAAATATGAACGTTTAATTCTCCCGTGACTGGAGGAGTGAAAAGATGCGCAGCAAGCGTTTTATTTGTGGACGGAAATGACAGGAAACATGGGTTTAGAGGTGGGGAGCGCATGAAGCGGTGGGAGAATGAGAGACAAATATGTCTGTGTTAAAAGGTCTCTTATATACACAAAAAACACAATATAAACACACTATCTTGGACCGATACATGACAGGATACCACAGAACAGCGCTACGCCCTCTGTTGTCCTGCCGGGCAATTGCTTTGCAAGACTCTCCAGGAGACGGAGAAGAAAAAGAGCAAAACGCTTCCGTCAATCCGTGCGTGTCTGTCCCTTGCGGAGCTGACGGAGAAGCATAAACCAGGCTTTAGGCTACTGCCCCCACAACCCGACTCCGGATAAGCGGAAGAAAATGGATGAATGGTTGGATGTTGTGTTATCTCCATTGCAATCTGCGCTGGAACTTAGTCTTCTCCTTTAGCTCGAAACTGTAGTTCTATCTCTGTGTATTTTAATGTGTTTTTATGTTGTTTTCATGTCATGTTCAGATAATTGTAAAGCACATTGAATTGCCTCTGTGTTTGAAATGTGCTCTACAATTAAAGCTGCCTTGCCTTGCCTGATGAAAAACATTGCATTAAAATGTAAAAATCTGGGCTTGAAGTTTTTGTTTGACATCTGTATTCAGTCATGTTATTTAAAGGTGTGGTTGAAAACCATTCTTTAATGATTATTTCTGATAAAAATCAGTTACTCTGTGTTTTTAATGCAGGCTGTACATGAAAACAGCCTCCTACACCTTTCTCCTGCATTAGCTTCTGATAGAAAATAGACGATGAAACTCTAGGATTTGAAAAGCCTAACAGATCTACGTCACACTGCCAATACAACTTACCCAAAATGACTCACGATGGGGAATGCTGTTGTTGTTTTAGCGGCCAGAATCGGCAGAAAACGTCTCAGTCAACAGAAGCTAACTGCTAGCATTAGCAACTCACTCACATGGCAGGAGCTCCTCCAGGCTTGTTTTTTGTCCCTGAGCAAACAGAGTTAGTGGCAGAGTCTAGATCCTAGGCTAGTTTAAATAGTTGTCCATGTCAGGTAAATTTTTACCATTAACATTTTTCATCTGTCAGTTTTTCACGTCCACCAGTCTGTCAAGTTTTTATTTCTCATCTTTTCTTTCTCTTCCTTTTTGTTTTTGTTCCCAGGTTATACCACGTCTAGGGAAAAACACTGCTGTGTTGTATCAATGAAAAATTCACATTCGACCTTTCGGATATGAAATGTCATCATTCCATTCTCTTTCCAAGTAAAAATCTGTGCCAAAGTTAAAGAAAATTCCCTCAAGGTGTTCTTGAAATGTCACGTTCATGCGTATGGGAGAAATGTGGGTCGCAGCAAGTTTGATTTTTAAACTTTTACAGCAAACTTCTAGTCAGTTTGTATTTAAGTCCAAGGGATGATATGTGTCAGATCTGAAGATGAAATTTCCTCAAGGTGTTCTTGAGTGATATTTCACACCTGATAAGAGACCCAGAGAACCATTATGCATGTGGTGATTATGCCTGGCAGAGGCCACTGCCAGGCATAATTTAAATAAAACGAGAGACGTAAACAACTGCATAAATTTTACCTGCAGAGTCGTTAGTGCTGAGCATAGTGCCATGAAGATGATTCAGTCTTTGCTCCTTAGCTGTAGTGTTTAATTGGCAAACACATTAGTAGAAACCAAATAGGTTATTAACAGACTACAAATCAAACGGGTAAAGTCTAGATATGTCAGCAGCAGATGTAGGACAGGGCAAAGATGGCCACTTCATTAAAAAAAATGATTTAATCAAGTCTGGTGGGAGACCACTTTTCCTGGCCCAGGAGAAGTGCCAAGTGCTCTTTCACATAGTGCAGAGCCCAGCGAGCGCCAAGTGTGAAAATTAAGTCGAAGTTGAGAATATTTCGCTTCAGGCTGTAAATTTTTCACACAGACTTGCTTACAGCCTTCCAAGTAAAACAAGCCATTGATCATAAAATTAAACAGATGTTTATTCCCAGATTTAATGTCGTCCAGACATGAGGACCCAGCTGTGGGTCACAAAACATTCAGTTTTAGGTCTTGAGATGATTTCTAGAAATCAAATAAAACAGACAAATTATTTCAGGTAGTTTTACTTTAATTATGCAAAAAAGTTATTACTGAATATAAGTACTGCCATGCAGGTTGAGTCTAGTATTGACCCTGTATTACCTTTTAGCAATGTTTGTGTAGTTCAACGTTTATCCTTTGCCATTGTTATTTTGTAGATTAGAAACCAAGGAAATGGAAATTTAAAAACTGTACCTGCCTATATAATCAGAGGAGTTGACAGTGCAGTGGGAAGATATTTGTGTCTATGCAGAAAAACATTTAATAATTCCCCAAAATGTGATATTACAATTTTAATTTTATTTGTTAGGATAACACTGAAAAAAACTTTTTAACTCCAACATGTGCTTTTTGAATTAGACTAAATACTACCAACGATACAGAATTTCATAGCTTGTTTTTGTCATTATAGATGATACTGAAAACACAGCACCAGCTATATAATGAGTCTTAATGTGAATAAAAATCTTATGAGTGAATGGATGTCATTTTTATGTGTTTATTTGTTTATATTTGGCTCTTACTAGCTTCTGCAGTATCTGTGTGACAAAATATCTTTAATGAATAGGATGTGGTTCACTTTATTTATTTTTGATTGTATGAAATTATTTTAAAGATGTAATAACCTCAGAGAAGAGGCTGCAACAAGCAGCTCCTGTAGATCTGAAAGTTAAAAATATCTCCTCAGATGGTCACTTCAGCCTGGAAAAGCAGGTCAACCCACTCAGACCGCCTGTTACAAGCAAAAAAAAAAACAATTTCACAGGTGTATTTGTGTGTGTGCCTCTTTTTTCTCTGTCACACACACACACACACAAACACACACACACACACACACACACATGGGCGTTGCACCCGTGGGGGATGCAACAACCACACTTTTCTTATTGAGATCATTCAACTGACACCCTCACTTTTCCAGCTGTTTTGCTCACCTCCACGCCAGTCTGGTCTCTACGTCGCAGTCTGTTTGCCTCGGGTTTCGGTTTCAAGCAGCAGCAGGAGAGGGAGGGAAGGAAGAACCCAAGGGCTTCCAGGGGCTCTTCCCTCCCTCCCTCTCCTGTTGCTCTGACACAACTGGCTTTCAACCAATCGATTTGTTTCCCACCATAAATCCCGCCTGTTCGGTCATTTTCAACATTCGGCTTGTAGTGGTGAAAATACACCGGGTATGTACCTACACAGAAAAGGCTTACACATATTTTATCTTAATATTTTAGCAGATATTACCCAAAAAACATTTCCTCAGTCATATTAGGAAGATCCATGTCAAAATCAAGCTTTTATTTACCTATTTCTCACTCAGTATAACAAAGATGCAGAAAAGGAAAAGGCAGGAGAGGATTGAGCGTCGCACCCATGGGGGATGTGGGGGATTCAACACCCACACTTTTCTTGAGATCGTTCAACACCCTCACTTTTCTAGCCGTTTTGCTCACCTTCACACCAGTCTGGTTTCTTTACGTCACACTCACTCTGTTTGCCCTTCTTCACCTCCTGCTTCTGACAGCCGATGTCGGGTTTCAAGGAGAGCAGGAGAGGGAGGGACGGAAGAGCTCGACTGAATTCATAACTTTGCATCTTGACATTAGCTGTACAAAGTCTGACTTTGATAATGTGAAGAACAATAATTTGCAGAGGATTATAACAGGCACTGTGCCAGGTTTTCATTTTTGGGTGGGCCACAGTAATTTTGGACGGACCTTAATAAGCAGTGACTTAGTGAAGCAGGCAGGTCGCGCTAGAAAATTTAGTTTAAAAAGACGTCATAAATGTGTTCCCCCGTCATTTTTATTTCTAAAATATGAAGTAAAAACTCAATTTAATTTTCATTCATTTGTCATTAATATGTAGTCTACACCCGTGCGTTAAGTGGACCATCTTCCAGTAAAAGCAAAGCCTCCAGCCCACCTCTCCAAATGCGTAAAATGTGCATCAGCCGCTAGTTAGGCGCGCCGCGCGCACCGTCAGCTACGTCAGCCCAGACAAGAGCAGAGCAAATAGAATAGAGGATAATTGTGTCTGGATGTGGATGGAGATTACATTTTACAGCAGCCTGATCATCATTTAAATACGTAACCCATCACCTGTCTTCTAGTCCACGCTATCAGCATTATTTTTAATTGGTGTGTGTGTGTGTGTGTGTGTGTGTGTGTGTGTGTGTGTGTGTGTGTGTGTGTGTGTGTGTGTTTTCCACTTCAAACACTGGTCTAACCAACCAGACCAGCGTATTAATGTTACAATTAAACAATTTCACTTCATGTAGGGAACGTTTCACCTGCCGTGGCCCGACCACTTCTGCTCCACATAAACTTTGTGCGTGATCAAATGTCTCTACAGGTGCTTTCTGAGCTGAAGAGGCTTTTCTGCCTCAGACAGACTGGATGCATCATGCGTCTCCATATTAGAGACGGGAACAAGCGCTATTCAGCCAAAGTTTCATAATCAGAGAACATTTTTCCAGGTGACACATCCCTCAGAGAGACCGGGTTTCTTGTTCTTTCAAAACAACCAACATCCTTCAGTTTATCCGTCAAAAAAAACAGTCAAATGGAAATATCTGTAACCTGCAATTTAACTGTTTTGCCTTCCTGTGAAGATTGTTGCAAAGAGAAACAACTAAACTTTATTGACCCCAGAGTCATGCGCACTGCGCTGTACTGACTGTAAATGGAGGGGAGACGATTTAATCGGATCCTTTTCTTTTCAACATGGTTTCATGTAAAGTTTCATTCAGTACAAACTTTAGTTACACCGATCTAACGAGACAGAGCCTGGATTTGTATTCTGAACAGTTTAAACATGTTTCAAACGGAGACATGCGTGACGCGTCTAAAATTCGCACCTGCTCCGCTATTATGGAAATTAAACTAACAAGATGAATAACATGAAATTATTTTAGGCACAGAAAACATCTCCCACACTTTTGAAAAGCTTGCAACGCGCCTGCACACACACACACACACACACACACACACACACACACACACACACAGCATGCTAAGGTGACTTTTACTCCCCATAAACACCTCCAGTGGTTATTAGTAGCACATGCACTCTCTCTGAACTCCGTATATGTTCTCCTCACCATATAGCTCACATACGTGACCCCTGGGTCAGATTATTGGATTGTTCCTTTAACGACCTTGCTCATTCACAAACTGTGACCATTTTCTACTCCGTGTTCTGCTTCCGTTAGTCCATCCTTTACATCACTTTTTTTTCATGCCATGTCTTTTTATGTCACCTTTGTGTTTTGCTGTGTTATTATAAAAAAGAAACGTTTAGCAAAAAAGCACACAAAGCGACTCCTGGTGAATATGTGGAACACATTTCTGGTGAAAAATGGAGCAGAATAATAAAGTCCCCTCAACTCAAACACATCAGAGTTTATTTGTCCTGAACTTGACAAATGTTAGCACAGCCAACGTGCGGTCCCGACAGCGAAGCACGGAGGTGAGAGTGTGACGTAGTGGAGGTGCATCACAGCGAGAGGTGTTGGTGAGGTGATATTTATAGATAGCTCTGTGGATGCCTGTGGATTCACAGGAATACCCGCAGAGAAAATGATGCTTAGGCTCCTCCTCTCCTCCTGTATGGTAACGACCCAAAGTGCAGCTCTGAAATCACTCACAGGTTTAAAGGGAAGAACAAAGTTGAAAGCAGTGTTTAACCCTTCTAACTTCCACACCATTTTATTTTAGGGCAATGATGCTTCATAATGTAACACAAATGAATAATAGTTAAACAGCTGTATTGTTATTGAGATACAAAAAATAAAATATACTTTCTTTTTTTTAGCATTCATATTTGTTTTCATTGCATGCTTCAGTAATTGGGACTAAGTAATGCTCCTCCTGGCTGTTAATGGGTTAAAGAGAACACAAAGAAACCACCCCAGACAAAGGCTAATAAAACACGTCTCCTAAACGTTTTCTCCAAATGTATCTGGATTTTGTGATCAATGAAGAATGGTTGAAGCTGCTTTAATGAATCTCCAGAACAAAACTAGGTTTTCGATGCAGATCACCCCTTCCCTCAGGTATCTTCCCTGAGTCGCTTCTGCCAGAACCAGAAACCCGCACTGAGTCAGTAAACGAGAGAGCACTAAACACCAACAGTATTGATACTGTTGACCATCACCTGCTACTGGAGAGGCTGAGAGACTGGGTAGGTCTATCAGGAACTGCGCTGGAGTGGTTCTCTTATCTTTCTGAGCGCTTCTTCTCTGTGGTCGTCTCCAAGTTTAGCTCCTCCACCACCTCCCTCACCCATGGTGTCCCACAAGGTTCTGTGCTGGGGCATCTGCTCTTCCTCCTCTATCTGCTTCCTCTTCAGCACATCCTGAGCTTCTTCAAAGAAATCTACCATCTTTACGCAGATGACATCCAACTGTACATTTCGCGTGTCTGAGCAGAACCTCCCTGAACCGTGTACAGGTGGTTCAGAATGCCTGTGCTCGGCTTCTGACCAAGTCCTCCAAACACACCCACATCACCTCACTTCTCCTCCAGCTTCATTGGTTGCCAGTCAACTTCAGGGTTCATTTCAAGATCCTGGCTCTGGTCTATAGGGCCTTACATGGACAAGCACCATCATATATTGGTGATCTTCTCAGTCCCTACACCCCCAGCAGGTCCCTGAGGTCCAGTGATCAAAGCCTACTGGTTGTGTAGCGCACCAGGCTAAAGACCAAAGATGACAGATCTGTGGCTCCCCTCTGGATCTCTCTCCCCCTGAGCTTGAGATCAGTAGACTCAGTGGACTCCTTTAAAAAGCAGATGAAAACTCACTTGTTCAGGCTGGCTTTTGTATGACCCTCTTCATCACTCTCTCCTTTTTGTGCTCCCCCTACCCTTTCCACCTTCCTCAGGATCCACTGATTTCCCTCTTTCCTATTCACTCTCTCTCATTCTTAACATTTTTATAATCACAATTGCCTATTTTTTGCTCATTTTAAATATATTTTTAATCATTTTCTAAGTCCTTTTCTATATTTTACATTTTTTGTTTTTGTGAAGCGCCTCGTGATTTTTATCTTGAGAGGCGCTATAGAAAGATCTTCTTCTTCTTCTTCTTCTTCTTCTTCTTCTTCTTCTTCTTCTTCTTCCAGTCATTGTCTTTTGCTGTGTGACTTCAAATGGTGTTTTTCTTTTTGGGACTGGTAGTTTATCCTAAAGTTGAAGTGGTAGCAGCCGGCTGTTTCTCCTACTCTGATATAATTGAGCCATGAATCTTTCACACCAGAGGAGTTCTGTTACTAAATATGCAAGTGCATAATGAGTGGAGGGCCCATGCAAGTGCAGCGGTTCAGTGAGACGACAACCGGATGATCCAATAGATGATTTTGGTTCAAAACGTGTTATGGGTGGAGGTTTTTAGACAAGTGCAAGAGAACCACTTTATTATTTTTTATGTTTTTGTTTTTATCTGTGCAATATATTTATAGTTATACTATGATAGAATGTTGGTAAGAGGCATGAAAAATTGTTTTAAGTAAATTTGCCGTTGAAGCTTTAACAAACATTTTTGTCACATACACGAGGCCTAAGGTAGTCTAAAAATGCACAGGACTTTAAAACTTATAACTTCAGTGCATCTTAAGAGATAATTATGTTAACTATTTGACAGCAGTGTCATTGATGACAATGACATCAATAAAACTGAAAGCTGCAAAAAAAGGAAAACTTGCTTTTAGAGGTGGGCGATATATGGACAATTTACTGATACGTAGATTCATTTTTACTACCAACATAATATTTCCTGTGTCAATATGTTAGGTATTTGAAAAAAAGCTACCAAATCCAAAATGTCGCCCAACGGTTGCTGAAGGGTTTTTGTGGGAATGGGCTTCTCCTCGACCAGATCACCGTTGCTCCATCTAACTGTCACTGCATGGGTAGGTGAACTGCTCAAAAAATGGATATTGATCTGACGCCCTATCACCCAGACCTAGTTGCAACTGCAATATCTCTGCTCCACATTCAGCAGTCATGTCTCCTAGTTTCTCAGTTTTTTTTTGTCAGATCCAGCTGTTTTCATGCTTGATTCTCAACACGTTTTCTGTTCTTGCTGTTCTTGCACCTTGATAGACTTTGTGCACAAAAAGTTAGTAACAATACTGAGAATAGACTGACTTGTGTGCTTTTCTCCAGCAAGCATGTAAAAAAAAGTATCCATGTTAAATATTTTCTTTGATTAGCCTTATTGGCCAGTCTAAATGATCCCAGGTGGAATAAACAACACAACACGGAACTATTACATTGCATCCTATAGGCAGTCAACAATGCCACAAAATGAACCTGGAAGCTGTAATAATGTGTTTAAAGTAGGGGTGGGCAATATGGTAAAAAAAAATCATATCCCAATTTAGTTTTTGCTAAATCACAATCACGATTTTATCACAATTCAGAAATTTTGGAAGTTATTTAACAATAAAATACATACATTTTAAATCATATCCCTGCACAGAAAATAGGATAAAATATTTCAGAATCCTAAAAAAAATCTTTAAATTCCTTTCCCTCACTCTCTCTCGTTCTTGTTTCAACCATCAACATATAAATATTGGCCAGGCTCCAGTAACACGTTTTTGTGCCAAAATGGGAGGTGGCCACCACCGACATTTTGACCGTGTCACAGGTTACCGTCAAAACCAGACAATTCCACAAAAGGGAAGAGAGGTGGAGCTGAGAGTGGGGCTGAAGCAAGCCCCCACAATGCCGCTCTAAAAATGGTCCCATCCCGGAAGTAAGAAAAATTGCAGTTCCACCCTCATCCGCTGGGGGCTGGTACCAGAAGCGAGCAAATCCTCATTGACCCCCATGTTAAAAATGCCATTTTCACAGCAGAAATAAACATGTTTACAGCCTGGTTCAAAAAATGGTTTTTTGTCTAAATTATCTAGTTTATACTCATGACAACTCTGAGGGGGGTGAATTTTTTTCTCACTCTTCTGTTTAAGTGTATTGAAAGCCTAAAATTCTGTATAATTAATGAGCATCCGACACACGTGACCGCCGCCTCAGACCCACGTGACCACAGAGCTAGCTCCGTGGAAAGGCCTCAGTACAGCCTCGGTCTCTCCTGGAAACTGTGTCGGGATTTTGAGTCTCTGTGCTTGTGAATTCTGTTTTGGATAATATTGGTGCAATTGTTGGACAAAATGACTTGCTGTGGTATTAATTGCACTAATAGAGCGTCCAAGGAGTCTCCACTTCATTTTTTTCGGTAAGTTAAAATCTATATTTGTATTTTATGTCACTGCTGCCTAGCTGAGTTTACCGAAGTAGCTAGCTAACTATCATTTTAACGTGTAGCATGTACTGTTTAACCATGAAATTTAAATGTAAAATACGGTAAAATAATTAATAGGGCATATTTCGATGGGTAAAAGGGTAAAACCCAGTGCATTTAAGATAAAAATGGGTTGAAAGATGACGCAGCGAGCCGCTTGGAGGGACACCTGTGCTCCATTCTTTCATCCGGTAATCCCCGACCGATCCGGCGCCTACTTGCTGCGCCTAGCTGCTGCGCGGTCTGACCGCTCGTGGAGTTTTTCATGTCTGACTTTAACCGCATCTAATACTGTATTACGGCTTGAGCGCAACAGCGACAACTTAATATCGATGTGTAAGCAGCCTGAGTGGTAGGGTGTTTTCATCTGAACCCTTAAAACCTCCAGCAGGCTACGCTGCACTATTGACGTGTTCGCGCGCGGCGCTAACAACTTAGCAACGTGACATGTCTCTGAGAAAGCGTAAAACACGGACGCTTCTTCTGAAGCGGAAAATAACACTTCTTCTTAAGCAGAGCAGGATGTCGCCTCGGCTCGTTCACGGCCGAGCCGGACTGAGCTCGATAACATTGACCAAGCACAGCCACTGGGCCGTTGTAGCTGCCACCAGGCCTGCTGAAGGAACTCCAGCGGGTTTCATCAGACTCGTAAAGTTTCTTGTTTTTGCTGGGGATTTCTGTATTTTACCGCTCCCTCCTGCAGTCTTCCCCTATTAAAATTTAAAATGTGTAACTTTATGTATTGGGATGAATGACTAATATTCATGTAAAACTAAAACGTTAGGCATTTAGGGGGAAAAAACAAAATAATAAACATTATACAGATGTCAAATAAATCAAACTGTAATTAAACTATATATTTTCAAAGTCATATAGACAGCATGATGGTTTGTGTGATCCGCGCGGTTTCACTTACACCCCTTTAATGATCAGGCTGTTTTTTATTATTTTTATCAGCTGATAGCAGTTAAAATTATGGTAAAAAATACTTTTATCTGTTTTTGATAACTTAATGCCCAGGAAGAACATCTTCTCTAGACATTAAATATAACCCAAATGTTTTCTTATGAGCAGATCTGATGAAGGTGTAGACAAGCAGTCTGCAAAGTAAAACTTGTTTAGAGTCCAAACTCTTACTAAAGCTTTTGAAAAGAAAAAATGGTTGAATTTTGAGAAATATCCACAACAGGGGAGCGAGACCTCTGAAAAATGTATATTTTCTCTGAATTCATAGAATAATGTGAAGATTCTGGGAAAAGTTGGGATTCTGAGATTAAAACGTAAATCTTTCTAATCATAATTCTGGCAGTTTTTGTGTCCTTCTGCTGTGGAAAGTCGTGCAACATGAAGATACTGAGAAGATGCTTACAACCTGTATTTTTATTCCATCCATAAATAAAATCATGAGCTATTTTTTTAATCCAAATTTGATCCAAAGGGCCATCGTTGGTTCCAGACCCGTTCTAGAACATTCCTCTAATCTTAAAGTCATCATCAGTTTCTTCCTTTTAACAAATATTTATTTGTTCAAATATTTAATATTTATAACTGGAATATTTGTTCCTCCCTCTCCCACTGCAGTTAGTCCTGTCCTGCAACCCTGTTTTTGCAGCTTAGTGAAGCCAACCATCACTAACCGGGGGGTGGTTTTGGACCCAGAGATGTGGATGGACTCCCACATTAGCCAGGTGGTTAGATCCTGCTTTTCCCGGCTTCGCCAGCTACCAAAGATGAAGTCCATCCTGAAAGACGTGTCATATTTTCTCCCCAAGCCGGACCTGACCGTCATGTATCGGTCCAAAATAGTGTGATGATATTGTGTTTTTTGTACATAACAGACTTTTTAACAGTCAAATTTGTCGCATTCTCCTACACCTCTTCACGGGCTCGCCACAGTAAATATTCTATTTGGCGAGAGATAAACTTTATTGTATTTATCCTAGTGAATCTATAATTAAACGGGTAAACTAGTATTAGCACATCCAACATCAAAGAAAGTAAAATGTTACTATCAGGAGAGGGAGAATGTTTAAGTGGTTAGCAGCAGTGTGCTAGCCGATGGCCCCCTCCATGAGGCCACCACAGCTCAGCAAAACGTCGTTGTAGCTTCTTCTGGGGAGAAAAACACTTAGAGAAAAAATAAAGTTAACAGCTGAAATAGCAGGAAATAATACAGTTAAAGAGCAGATTGTAGAAGAAAGAAACCCCTGGGTTAAACTGGTCTGTCTACTGCATAATGCTGAACTCTAACATGTGTCCTCAGGGAAGGACCTGATTGGTGTCCAGAACCTGCTGAAGAAGCACCAGGCTCTGCAGGCTGAGATCACAGGTCATGAACCTCGCATCAAGGCTGTCACCCAGAAAGGAGAGACCATGGTGGAAGAAGGTAGAGCAGGTCTGGTCCTGACATGTTTCTGAGGTGTCTGCAGGTTCTGGCTCACTTTTTTTGGGTCCAGGTCACTTCGCTGGTGAGGAGGTGAAGACTAAACTGTGGGAGCTTCATGGACGTTGGGACACGCTGAAGGCCAAGGCGTCCCAGAGGAGGCAGGACCTGGAGGACTCTCTGCAGGCCCAGCAGTACTTTGCGGATGCTAATGAGGCCGAGTCCTGGATGAGGGAGAAGGAGCCCATCGTTGGAAGTCCAGACTAAGGGAAAGACGAGGACTTGGCCGAGGTATGGAAGTCCCTTCCTGAGAAACTCCAATCGCTTTTCTTTGCTCTCTTTCCAGTCCTTCATAATTAGTGTTTCTGTATTTGTCATTTCCTTCGGTTGTCTACCAGACATCGTTGCTCGTTTGAGTGTCTCATGGGTTAGGGGTAGAAGTGCTGGCCTCGCACAGGAAGTGATGACAAACGTGTTCCCGTCACTCTTATTTCAAACGGTTTACAAGCTGTGATGTGTGTTCCCGCTGCAGAGCAGCCATGACACGTGGCAGCCGGCAGAAGGCTCACGCTTTTCCACTAAACACCCGCAGAGCTGCGTCTGCGGTGAACTGAGCAGGGTTTGTTTTACGGTGGCGGATCCGATTGGACCATCGCTGCGAGAAAGCTCCACTTGTGTCAGACGAGCTGAAGGTTCTGATGTTCTGCTCCACAGGCTCTCCTGAAGAAGCACGAGGCCCTGATGTCGGACCTGTCGGCTTACGGCAGCAGCATCCAGGCCCTGAAGGAGCAGGCCCAGTCCTGCAGGGTGAGTTCAGAACCCTCGGCCCGTCAGAACATTCTTATCCACCACGTTCTAACACCAGACCTGTTAACCCGATAGCAACAAGGTAATCAGCAGGTGCTTTTGTCCTGCAGGACCTGAAGGCCAACGAGTCCCGCCTGAGGGACATCAACAAGGTGGCATCTGAACTGGAGTCAGAAGGTCTGATGGCTGAGGAGGCTCCTATGGTTCAGGCTCAGGTGAGCGTCACCTGTCTGCAGCAGCTGGTCCCTCTCACTTCCTGGTTTAACTCTGCTCGTCTCTGTTTGTAGCAACAAGAACATCTGGGTTCTGCTCCTGGAAAGGTGCATGTTGTCCTCCGCCTCAACCAGAACCAGACGTGGTGTTTATGTTACCACTCATTTGTTTGTTTGTTTGTTTACAGGATGAAGCCGACTCTAACACGGCATCACCCTGGAAGGTGAGTTCATTCAGCTGATCAGAGGTCACCTCTGATGGCAGCAGTCACGGCCGACCGTGCTGACATCACACAGGAATTCAGGTGACCCGGCAGGCACCAGGTGCTGGTGAAAGTGGGGACATGTCAGCTGGTTGCCATGGCTACAGTTATCTTTATGCATCTGTATGACTGCTGACTGGTGTGTGTTTCCTGTGACCTTTGACCTCAGACCGTACGGTTGGGCGTTCAGACGACGGCTATCTTTAATTCCATCAAGGTAAGAGGAAGCTCTTCCCTTCCTGTCTGAGCGATCCGTCTCCAGGTTTCCTCGTCCGGCGTCCAGCCCGCTGGCGTCCACCTTCATCTCACCTTCATCTCATCTCACTTCATTTATAGTGCAATACTTTCACATTATCATTTTCCCACACTTCTGTATACCTGTATTTTGTTGTTTTTCAATAAAGAATGACAAATTATTTAAGTTTGGTTTTTGTTGCACACAAATATATATCTGTAAAAAATATCTTCAAAGCTAATGTTTACATAACAAGTATGATTGGGTTTGGCAATACGGCACTCAAGTTTATTTTAGTAAGATTTTCAAACCAAGTAAAGTTAGTAAAGAACACATTTCTATTGTCTGCTAAGAAACTGTTGGGATTTAAAATGGGCCTGTTGTACAAATAACTTGTAAATGATTATTCCTCACTTTTGTCTTAACCAAAGAAATTCCAGTAATTGAGCAAAAACATTTATTTTTAACACTACATTTTATAAAACAGGGCACAGTGTCGGCACATGTATGTATGTCGATGGTCCGCCCCAACCAAACCAAGAGACACAGACGTCAGGGAGGCCAAGGTTGTCTCTGCAGCTCTCTGGGCACCACGCCTCACTCAGCTGTCTCCAATGATCCAAATGGCTATGGAGGAAAAAAAATGTAATAAAAGAATGAAACTTAAAAACTCCCAGACCTCATGTCATATTTACTAATCAGCTATGGCTGATTTGTTTGGATCACAGTGAGTTACACTAATTCTAATATATTTTTATTTCTATTATACATACATACTTTTTAACTGTTATTTTCACATGACTGTTATCAGGCTCTCTTGTTCTGGCTCTGTTGATAACTCTGTGTCTTCCAGTAAGTTATCTTGTGCTTACTTCATCTGTATAATGTCTCTTTACTTTTGGTAAATTGTACTGAGTCCAGAATAAAGGCTAGCTGGCTGTACAAGATACAAACAAGAATTACGTTTTGGAAATATATGAAACACCGCCAGCATCTGTTAGAGCCTGTGGCGGGGTGCTGAGGGCCGGCTCCAGCCCAGGAATGAGCTCTACACGCCGGCCGGGAGGGTTTGAAACACCGCCATCCTCTCCTCTGCTGGCTGTTCATTCTGTTATGGTTACCGGTGCTTGTGTTGCAATGTGAAACGCTTGGTCTCAGATTTTGTAAGAAAGATAATAAAATGTCCCCCCAAAATACGACTTAAATATATTTTCTCTTCTTCATGATACATTTAATGGCTGGTGCGACTCAGGAGTGATAGCGCCGAAAAAAACAACTGAAAACTTGCTCAAAGCAAAATGTATTCATTACGGAAATAAATTATAAACTTACCGATTTAAAACTTTTTTAATACAGGTACTTCTCACGAACAGGAGCAGAAAACCTCCACCTAAACACCGTATGAGTTTCAGGTAGATAGGTTTTACACAGTTAGCTCCGGTTGGGTTGAAGGCAGGTGGCTACATCCGTTAGCTCGGCTCCCACCTCCGCTTTAGCTTTGGGTTAGCCAGGGTTAGCTTCAGGTTAGCTCGTAGCTAGTTCGCCTGGGTGTCGTCACTCGAGCCCAGCCTTACAGCCGCACCCTCAGCGCCTCCTCTCTTCCCTTTTATGGAATTGTCTGGGCTGGACGGAACCTGTGACACGGTCAAAATGGCGGTGGTGGCCACCTCCCATTATAGACAACAAACGTGTTATTGAAGCCAATGGAATCCGTTTGTCCAGTATATGTACAGTCTATGGGCTGAAGGCTGGGATCAACTGACGACACCCGGTCAAACTAGCTACAAGCTAACCTGAAGCTAACCCAAAGCTAACGCGGAGGTGGGAGCTAAGCTAATGGAGGTAGCAACCTAGCTACAACCGGAGGTAACTGTGCACAACACCAGAGCTTCTGAGTCAGAGATACGCCGGGCTGACCGCTGGGTAAAACCGGGTGGAACACAGAGGTCTCCCGAGAGCTCCGCAAGCCGGCAGCTGCACAGCAGACAAGCGCAGCTGCGATCTGAGATGTGCAGAGCTGCCGCTGGGGAGAACTGGGTGGAAAGGTTTCCATCCCAGAGCTCTACAAGCCGGCAGCCCGCACAGCAGTCAGGAGCCGCGATCAGACAGAGATGCGACGAGCTGCGGGGAGGGGAGAACCGGCTCAAATAATTTCCAAAAAAGAATGCACAAACGCTACAACTAATGGTCTAAGTTGAGAGACTGAAAATGACCGAACAGTTTTCAGGCGAGGCCGAGGCTCAGACTGAGGTCTTTCCCCGGAGCTAGCTCTGCGGTCACGTGGGTCTGATGCTCTTTTTGGTGAGCTGAGCCAAAAGAACCGGCTCTCTAAAAAGAGCCGGAATTCCCATCACTATCAGCCAGCATGTGAAACTCATAATGACAGATTGTTAAAAATTTACAAGTAAAAAAACAATTACTTTACTCCTGCTACACCCCACCCCCACCCCTGTTGCTACCTGTCCCCTCGCACAGACCAATAAAAGCTACCAAAGCCATGCCCTCCTCCCTCTTATGAGGGTCCGGTTCCCCAGAGGAGTCTTCACAGAGCGGACAGGGTGCAGAAGCCGCTGTTTTTACAGCCATTACCAGGATAGACGCTGACAGCATCCTCCTCCTCACACTGCAGTTTTTGTGAATAGAGATCTGGGCAGATGTTATTTAGGAGTGTACCATGAAAGTGGCAATTTATCAAAGACTGTGACGTAAAAGGAAACGGTGGAATGTGTTTTGCCGTCTGCGGTGTGTTTTCATTTCAGACTAAAACTGACAACCGCATATGGAGGAGAGCACTTTCAATCTGTGTGTCTGATATTGTTTGTCTCTCCCAACTTAAGCGAAGGCACACAAGGATCAGCTTGCACTAAAGCAACCCGTTTCAAATAAATAATCTGAATGTAGGACCTGAAAAGAAAAGCAATTACACAAAAAAGAAAATGACCCAGAGATGAAAAAGGCACTTTTTTCATCATATCTGTGATTCGTGCCGTGACATTTGTTCCATACATTTGTTTTTGACTCTGAATGACACCTAGAACTGATCTGCTAATGGATTTTTCACACTATTAGTTGTTTAAAAGACTTCTTGACCACAAAATAATTTCAAAAGAAGCTTTGTCGGTGTGGTGTGTGTTGCTTCCTATGATAAATGATAAATGACCCGCACTTGTATTGCGCCTCTCAGAGTAAGGACTCCAAAGCGCTTTACACTACAGTGTATCATTCATCCATTCACACACACATTCACACACTGATGGTGATGAGCTACAATGTAGCCACAGCTGCCCTAGGGCGCACTGACAGAGGCGAGGCTGCAGAGCACAGGCACCACCGGTCCCTCCGACCACCACCAGCAGGTAAGGGCGATTAAGTGTCTTGCCCAAGGACACAACAGCAGAATTCTCTGTCCGGAGCCAGGATCGAAGCTGCAACCTTCCGATTACTGGACAACCCACTCAACCTGTTGAGCTACTGCTGCCCCTATGATCTTCTATCCGACTTATCTCTTTGTTTTAATTGAATATGGCTTCTCTGTTCCTGCTGTTGCTTTGTTTCATGGTGATAAAGCTGCAGAATGCCGCCACAGTGGCTGTCATCCTCAAAAGCTATTAGCTGCTTGCGATAAAGGCCAAATCCACAGCAAATACACCACTTTAAACATGAAGGTTTATGCTCCAATGTGTTTTCTTTGTTTTAATTTGGAGCTCAGCCAGATTGTGGCGGTTATAGATGGCTGTAATTATGAGATGACTGTGATTCAAGCTCACTGCGTAATGCTTGCCTTAGATTTGTAGAATTTTTGTATTAAAAACAATAACTGTAATGAAAGATTACAGTCTACATCTCTGCACGCCAAATAGGACTTTTTTTTATTATGCTGCTTTGTATTAAAAACGCCATGAGATACAGGTAAATAGGATTACTTCCCATGAAGAAAAATAAAAATATTTTCCCCCTGCAGCGGCCCCGATGCTCCCTGTAGGTAAAGAGCCATGTCTTGTCAAATCTGCACTAACAAATTCCTTCCTGTGTTTTGTTTTCAGCCTGAAGCAACACCAGCAGTAAGTCACCAAGACAAACCACAGGAGATGGACGACAGAGATTTGTGGGATAAACAAATTCAGGAAGGACTAAATGTCAGAAAGTAGTGCAGAAGAAACTTTTGTTTGTGTGTGTGTGTGTGTGTGTGTGTGTGTGTGTGTGTGTGTGTGTGTGTGTGTGTGTGTGTGTGTGTGTGTGTGTGTGTGTGTGTGTGTGTGTGTGCGTGCATGAGAGTGAGTTTCTATATTGAGCACTTTGTGTTGGATGAGTTCAACACAACCTTCAGGAGACTCGCGGCTGAGGAAGGAACTCCTCTGTGAACCACAATCTTTGAACTGAACTGATGTCAGTGCATCACCCAGCCTGGTAATTACCATTCTAATGATAGTCAGACAACAGAAGAAATAAAAAGAACTCCCCCAAGTGCTCTGACAGTGATCCCAGTCTGGACACAGTTTACTATTTGTTCACGTTTCTAAAAATGAAGTGGTGATGATGATGACGAATGCCCGTGGATGGCTCACTTTCAGACCACTTGAGGAATTACTCAGGCCCAGACCTTCAAATCAGAGAAAACTCCCTCAGCCATCCCTGACTGCATGATTTCATAAATGATGTTCTTTCAAAACCCAAAAACTGAAACTTAAGTGATAAAAAAAATACTAAGAAAAAAATCTCATAACTCTGTGAATCATCTACTGTTGAAAACATTCCCATGAGACTAAATAGTGATGTCAGAAGCAAGTTGGAGGAGATTGAAACACTCTCCAACAAGGGCAACATGTAGATATTTCTTTTTGCTGTTGCTGTAACCAGGAGATGAAAAAGCCTTCCCACTCATGTAGCAACCAACACAACTGGGCTGTATTTTCAATGCATGCAAACGGTGCATTCACTTGCCTTTTAGAAGCCTGTTTATCGTGCTGCTTTCTAACGATTGCTTCGCAACACATCACAGCACACACTTGTAACTAAAACAAGAGGCTACCAACATTTCCATACAGAGATTAGCTGTCACTGCAGTTTAACAGCCTCGTGTGTGGAACCTTCAGTGAGTTTCAGTAATGGTTTGTTGCACCATGTTAGCCGTGTTTCCATTATAGGTGTTCCGGGAAATTTCAATGCCGTTGTGTCTTCATACAAAACGTCAGCATATGCCGACCATTTAGGCAGTGAGTGATGTCATTGATCAGCTCCAAAAGACATCTACGGAAATTAAAAATTTTATTCTGCAAAAGTTTGCAGTAATTTTATACATTCAGTGGACCAGGACAGCCGTGTTCAATGGCCAGAAAAGGTGCCATTTTTGCCGCTCTATAGGAGAACTATGGAAGCGTATTGCTGTCGGTATGGGTAAATATATAAGAGCAGCATATCGTAAAAACTATAAAGTTTCTCGATAGAACGTGATAAAAATCTTGTCTTGATGAAAAACTTTCTTGTAATACCAGCATATAAAGGTAATTTTAACAAGAAAGTTTCTCAAAATAATGTGTTCAGTATCTCGTAATATTGAGATATCTCTAATGGGTGAAATGCCGACACACATTAGCCAGTTTTTTTTATTTTATTGTTACTATTATTACTTTGCCTAGAATGCAGATCGTCATTTGCTGAAGCAAAATAATTTTGCTTTGCATTACGGTCTAGCAATGCTCCATTGGAACCACCGCAGCCCCGGCCAGTATTATGGCTGACCAATCACAGCTTGTTCATTTAGAAAAAACTATTAATTTGCGTCCTTCTCTCTGCATCTTCCACGATGTATGGCGGACTGCCCTGTTGACTGACTAGCGGTCCTATTAAAATGCTTTATTAGTTTGGTAGGCCGATCACAGCGCTCTAAAGCTTGGTTTATGCTTGACGCATTCACTTTCCGCGCGGTGATGCGGCTCGCGGCTGGAACGCGCTTCACAACTCGCAGTGTTTATGGTTTGTGCGGCTCGTCTCTGCGGTGAGCCAATATTCTCCCAAACTGTAGGGGGCAGCATGGAGCTCTACGGCAAGCATCCAACACTACACCATAGTAGAAGTAGAAATTACTGTTTACAACATGACATTTCAGCATTTTTAACAGCGTTCTCGTCGTTTCCGACAGTGCGAGCTATTTCTCTCCAAGAACTATTAACAACATGTTGATCACGGTGATCTTTGAGAGCTGAATCATACAAATGTCTGTATTTACGAACCTCTGCCGTGCCGGTCCGCCATGTTTTTCCGCGTCCGACCGTCCGCGTGGTTAGAAATTTTCCGAGGTGCGCGTTGCGGAAATCTTGGGCCGTGCGGAGACGCGGTGGAGGGGCGTGGTTGTTAAAATGACGCAAAATGACGCAACTTTTCCGCGCGGAGCCGTGCGGACCTCGCGGATGCGTCAAGCATAAACCAACCTTAAGTCTGGTGGGCAGGATGTTAGTGCAAATGAGTGAAACTAAGATGGCGGCTCTGTAGTGGTCTAATCACAGCACTCTGATGGTGGGCGGCTTTGGCATCAAATTTGGACTATTTTGACCTGTACCTTTATTTTACTTGAGCAAATAGAGGTACTTAAGTTTATTTAGAAAAAGGATGCAATTGCATCTTCTTTGATGGTGTATGGCAGACTACCTCGTTGACTGACATCCGTAGTGGTCAGTATGTCTCGTTTGTACACCAGCGTGTGGAGACATTCTGAAAGACAACCGTATATCCCGCCCCACGACTGATTGTCGTCAATGGATGGTGGCTAATTATATATCCACATACATGGCTTGCCGAGCTACCATTGTTCGGCAATTTCGCCCTGTTGTCGAGGCACTGATGCTGATGTACTTCCTAAAATTTAAACACAAAGAGCTGGAATAACTATTTCAATTATGCGGAGTAAAATGCCACAACATATTAACTGCAATTTTACCATTACAATGCTACATTTTTATTATTACGTGATATTAAACACATTATTTGTGAACATTTCTCATTAAAACAAAATTTATATGTCGTTATTACAAGAACGTTTTTTTTTTTGTTATTACCGTATACTGCTCCTTAATTTTTTTCTTGCACTGACAGCAATGCACTTCCAAAGAAACCACAACTTCGCAAAAATGAAAGGTCTATTGGGAGGGTTGCATTTTGTGGCGTTGGGAATAGAAAAATGGTGATTTTTTTTTCCCATCTTGCTTCACCAGCAACTCTTCCAATTTTAAAAATGGCGGTTGTTTGGCAGCATCTGCTGATATAATTTTCCTACTGACTTACAACCAATCAACATGAGTTAACTACAAGTCCCCCCATCAACTCTACCAGGGCATTTCGGAGTACACAGGGAACCTAAGTCACTTCTGCGTCATGGTTCCCCGGAAGAACGAAAAAATGAATGCAAGTCAACAGGGCTAAAAACGTTATTATCCAATACGCCTTGCCTTACACCATGGATTGCACATATGTTGTACTGCATTTTAAATGAAAATTATTGATGAGTGTTTCGACCATGACAGTCACATACTTTGAGATTTATCAGCTTGTAAAAGTTCGTAATCAGCATGACTTCAAACCAGAAATTGGCACGTCGCATATGTGACGTCACTACAATCTCCTCTCCCCAAACGTAGCTGCTACTTACCAAATGACCAGATTTATGGTGGTTCTTTCCTCCTGTTGGAAATTTGCTGAACTTGCAGCCATTTTCCCTCAGTTTTCTCCGTGTCTGGTTTGATGACGTCACTTTCGTGAAGCACATTGGTAGTTCTGGACTTATTTTCACACAAAACCTAAAATATTGTTCCCCCTGTTGGATAATAAGCACATTCTTGGTATCGAAATGCATCTTTAAAATTCACGGACATCATATGTGAAATCCATAACACAAAACAAGCGGAATTAGAAAATAGCATTTTTAGCCCCGTTGACTTGCATTCATTTTTTCCTTCTTCTGGGGACCCATGATGCGGAAGTGACTTAGGTTCCCTATACCCCACTTGGTTACTTCTTGACATGCCACGAACGTCCGGTAAAATTACTCGGAAGTTCCGATAGTGGAAACGAGCCTATTGATGAAGAAAAGATGTACTCTACTTTCCCTTGATGAGAACGCTGTCCTCTGTTAGTTCTTTTTATAATTGGAAACACATTCAAATTTTATAATTTTTTTGTTTTACTATCATAAACTACCCATAATCTAGACAGAAACCATTTTTCCCCCAGCACACGGATGAATAAGGGTTTTTATGCAATCGCTTCAGATTTGAAAGTGTTTCACGAAGAAAGAATAAAACTTTGTGTTTTAATGAGTCACATAGGTGAGATGTGTGTTTTTAGATGAAAAAAAGATTTGTAATTATAGTGTTATCTTCACTGAGCCACGAGTAGGGAAGTTTCTTAAAAATTTTGAGAAAAATGCATAAACACTGGCAATAGAATGAGAATAAACTGTCTGTTGTGTTTTTAGTGGATAAAAATAAACCTGGAAGTTGTGACAATGGACCAAAATCCAGCACATGGAGGACATCGCTATAAAGGGAGTTTTAATAGCTGCAGTTTTCATGAGAAAACCTACAATCACCAAGAAGGGAGTCGTTAAAAACTGCCAAAACAATGATGCAATGACACAAACTGCTGGACTTTTCAAACATCACAACAAAAGTGCAAAACCAAGAAGTTTTTTTTTTTTTGGATGCGCTTCAGACTGTTTGAATGACGGATCTCTGCTGCTCGGGTTTACTCACCGTAAGCCGTGTGTGCCCATGATGCAAGAGGCTGACCGTGCCAAGAGTCACACATTTTAGTAGATGTTACATAATATATTACAGAAATGTATTTATGGCTTAAAAACTGTGTGAGGAAATGTTTTCCAGTGGGCGTCAGTATGTGAAGTTGCACTGGCAGTGGGAGACTCTGTTAGCTGTGTGAGCACACTCGTAAACACACCTGATGATGAATACAATGAAGCTGACAACTATATCTGTCTTCTCTTGAAAAATCCAGAACCATTATTTTTTATTTTCTGCTTGTTTACACCTCCATGGAGACAAGTAAAAAGGGATTTTACTCACATTCTCTGCTTCAAGGTGTGAATAATCTTTTATGTGTTTTAACGTGTTGATTCATCCTCTTTGTCTTTGGTATGTTTTGCACAGGACATGTCAAACAAAAATACACATGAAACTACTGATGGAATGGCTTTTAGGAATTAAGATTTAAAGGGTTCAAAGGTTTTAAAAGTTACATATTTTTTAGAAACATAATTTGGAAAATAGTAGCATTGTTCCTCAGTTTGTTTGTTTTTATTCCTTACCTGGAATAATTTAATTTATTTGTTCAAGAACATTCTAAAAAAGGCTTGAGTTATTACCTATACTTTTTCAACTTTCTGGCAATATCTCTTAAAAACCAACACTTTCAGCTGATTTGAGGTCATTTGGTGTAAAGGCAGATAAATTTCACATAATTTAGACTTTCTTATTTAAAAAAATCAAAATATGATGTTGTGGTAAGTATCTTATTATCAATAAAGTTTTTTTAATTTTTTTTAAATTAATTTGAGTTTTCTTGAAGACATCTAGTTCATAGATAACCAACAACCAGAATTTTTTTTATCCTAGCTTTTTCAAAGGGGTTATGTTGCAACCTAATGCTTGTTTTCTCTTAAAGGTCAACTTTATTCATATTTTTAAACATTAGCAATGAATGCCTTGTAAGTCATTCTCTGGGGACAAAAGCTATGTTGCGCCTGTTTGAGGACGGAGAAGACAGCTGGAGGAGAAAGTACCTTCAGACGATTTGGACCCTTATTTTCTGATGTTTGGACATCTCATCTCTAATTGGCTAACACAACGCTATCACTGACTCTGTTTGCTTTGCAAAGTTGATTTTTTTATCTCTACAAATAACACAAGCCTGGAGGAGTACAGTTGTGTCATGAGGTTGCTAATGCTAATGGTTAGCTTCTACTAGTCAAGATGTTCTCTGTAGTTAAGATAAATGATAAATGACCCGCACTTGTATAGCACCTCTCAGAGTAAGGACTCCAAAGTGCTTTACACTACAGTGTATCATTCATCCATTCACACACTGATGGTGATGAGCTACGATGGGGCGCACTGACAGAGGCGAGGCTGCCGAGCACAGGCGCCACCGGTCCCTCCGACCACCACCAGCAGGCAAGGGCGGTTAAGTGTCTCACCCAAGGACACAACAGCAGAATTCTCTGTCCGGAGCCGGGATCGAAGCTGCAACCTTCCGATTACTGAACAACCCGCTCAACCTGTTGAGCTACTGCTGCCCAAAGGCCCAAGTTTCCTGGCTGTTAAACCAACAGCAGCCTTCCCCGTCGCGAGTCAAGATGGACAAGTCCATAAATTTTAAGGGACAGTGTGAAGTAGATATGTCAGGCTTTTCTAATCCTAGAGTTTCACGTCTATTTTCTATCAGAAGCTAATGCAGGAGATAGGTGAAGAAGCCTATTTTTAAGTTCAGCCTGCATGAAACCTTCAGAGTAACTGATTATATTAGAAATAATAACTAAAAATTGTTTGTCTGTGAAGTTGACCTTTAAATATTTATTTGTTCCCTTATATAGATATATTTAACTTCATGAAGTTGATGCTTATTCTTAGGGTCTAGTCGATTTGTATGTTTTAGCCTACAGACTTCCTAAACCTAACCCATCCAGGCAGTTTTGTGAAAACAAGTGAAGGAATCTACCAGGAAACACAAATGTGATCACAGACAGCAGTTTCACTCTAATGGAGATTCAGTCTAGCCTAGTAATCTAGACGGACAGTAGCCAAAGCTAAATGACTTTACTCTGTATGTCGACCTAGTCACACTCAATAGAAGCCTCAGCAGGTCTACCACTGGCCTGGGGTCTCATTTATCAAACATTGCGTAGAATCCTTACTAAAACCGTACTTAAGCCCAGCAAAAAAATGTACTTATGCCAAGTAGGTTTGTGATCTATAAAATATGGAGTACGCACAGCTGCATGCAATCTCCGCTTCATAAATCGGAGACTAACGAGAATGTTTCTCAGATGCATTTTAGTCACATCCCACCCTCACTACTCCCACTTACTGCCATAAATAGTCAATGCAAAGTGCCTTGTGGATCTCATACATATACATAAGCCGGCCGTTGCAGCGTTCCACCAATGACGATGGCGACCATAGATCAAGGCAGATCAAGGAAGCGCAATTTCACAGAAGCAGAAATTGAGGTAACTGTGAGTGAGGTGGAGAAATGAAAGGAAGTGCTTTTGCAAAACAAATAAGAGAAAATCCACGGAGTGGCACAGCATTGCTGAAGCCGTCAATGTTGTGAATTCTTCAGAGAGATCTGTGGCGGATATAAAAAAAAATATCCGATCAGGGTTCAATCCCCAGACTCCCAGGTGAAAGTCGCGCGTGCTAACCAGTCAGCCAAACGTAGATCTCCCTTGTCCAAGTAGCCAGGGTGCATGATCAATCGGGTCACAGTGACAGGACACACACTGCCACAGATGCTTGACATTCTGTCTCAATCTGTCCCCCTGCTGATATTCTGCATTCCGTATGCTGCGCTTAAGGCTGTGTGTGTGTGTGTGTGTGTGTGTGTGTGTGTGTGTGTGTGTGCGAGCGTGCGTGCGTGCGTGCGTGTGGGGGGTCTTTTTCTGTGAAAACGAAGCAGTACAAGTGATAATGCTGCAGGATTTCATAATTTTATCCTTCCCAGCAGCAGCACTGCAGGTGCTCTCCATGTCCAAAATGTGCGTAAGCCAGGTCCTTAGTCAGCTTAAAGTTGCGCGCATTTTTCCGCTAAGTTTTCTTTCATAAATCCCAAAGTTTGCATGGAAAGTTGCTTACGCAGTTTTCCGACCCCGTTTTGTGCGTGAGCAAGCTTGATAAATGGGGCTCCTGAGCAGTATTGTGTTATGCCAATCATAGGTCTCTATTGGTTTGGTGGGCATGATGATGCCATGGAGCGGTACAACAATGGCGGTGGCTCGTGAAAAAGCTTTGTCATCAACTTTGAACTATTTAGGCTTGGACTTTTCTTTGAGTCAAGAGCAGGTAGAGGTACTTAAGTCTGTTATTTAGGAAAAAGGATGTGTTTCCTCTTCTTCTACAGTGTATGGCGGACTCTCTGTAGAGATGAGTGTCGCATTGTTCATTGACCAATATCAAGTGGAAACAGTTTGAAAGACAACATTAGATTCCACCCCACAACCAAGCCCTGTCTATGAGCCATGACTAAAGTATGTATTCACATATATAGGATGGCTTGCCAGGCTAGATTCATCCTTACTTCATGAGTAAAAGTCAAACATTTAGAGGATGTGTAAAGAAGTGTGTTGGTTTGATAACTTTGGATTTGATCAAAGCTGCATGAAAACAGTTTAAAGATGGCTTACACAATCTCTTTAAATCTGGACACCATTCCCTTTGTATGAGTACTGCTGGCTCTGTTGGGTTATTCTAATACTTTAGCTTAATTCCTTTCAAGATGAGTAGTTAGACTGAAGTGCAACAAGAAAAACAACCCAATTGAGCCAAATGTTTATCATATTTTTCATAATTCCTTGATTGGAAAACAAACTTGTTATTCACAGAGGAAAGCAGAGTAATTACATGAAACAAACAAGAGCTAGTCAGGGAGGAAAGGAAGCAGCAGGAGATAGGAGGAAGCAGCAGGAGATGGGAGGAATCAGCGCAGACCGGAGATGATGTGCACTCTTAATGGTTCATTGTAGTCAACAGTAGATGATCTGAATAAAACATTAAAGCTAGAATTATGTCATTTCCACTGCAACGCCCATCCTCCATGTCCTAAAACTCAGTGGGAGTGGGAATTTGAGGCCATCACCCCACTTAGCCCTCAGTAGAACAAGCCATCTCTGCTCATACATATTAATCACACCATCAACGAAACCCCATAATCTGCCGGATGTGTTCTTGAAAAGGTAATGCCGGCACCCTAGGTGCACATTACAGGTCAGTTTCCTGAACATGTTTAATTGAAGTGCTGGCAGCCTTGCTGTGGATTTGACACTGAATTAGGGTTGGTAACGGGGATGTGTAACCGTCTCGAAAACACAAGATGGAGTAGGAGTGAGTCATGGTGAGGATTCCCCACAAAACATTAGATGTTCCTGTCTCTGAGTAATGAAGCTAAACTGCTGAATTATGAGATCTGTGTCATAAAAATGTCAAGTCAAGCCTAAGTTTTCGGTTAACATTTATTAGAAAAAGTGTAACTGGAATTGCTTTGTAACTCGCTGGAGTTTTTGACAATTAAAATTGCACCCACATTTTCTAAGTTAGACACATCTGTTCTAACAACTGTAGTTCCTGCATCTTCCTTCAGCCCTCTCCCCCCTCACCCTGCACAGCGGCCGCAAACTCACTGATGCACCTGCAGCCTCTCAGAGTTGCTGCTGCTCTAAACATTAAAATAATTATTTCATTTTCTGTTCCTCACTTCTGATTACCTTCAGTGGTGTCTGTTTGTTGCAACCACCAGGCACAAAAACGAGTTTGTTTTTTATTTGACATTTTTTCTGTCCTGTCTCTGTTTATTATCTTCCTGCATCTCGTCTCAATCCTAAAGAAAAACTGCTACCTGGGTTCATATATATTCACCTTATGAGATACCTTTGAACTGCAGTTCTAAAAGATCTACCGACTGCACAAACAGTAATAAAAGTAGAACAACTGTAGTCAACAATCAGGGTCACTTCCTTGAGCTATAGCACCAGAAGGAGAGACAAAGATAAAGGCGTTGGGGCTTGTGGCTAGACCTAAGTTTGGAGGAATTGACGTTGGGTAAAAGTTTGTGCTAGTAACAACCTGAGCACTAAAAGTGGATTTAGAAATAAATCAGTGGTACTGAGGGGTCGGATGAACAAAGCATCTGGTTGACTAGTAGTTGGTTGTCTGGGAAGATCTGCACCCATTACATGGAATAAGTGAAACCATGTCTGAGTGAAAAACAGGTGGTCACCTGACAGCTCTTCTCAGAATAGTCCTTCAAATTTGTTTTTGAAATAGTATTTGAACTTTTTTCTTGACATTTTTATT